ATCACTTGACTCTGAAGACGACTTCCACTCAGGTTGTCGAGACGTCAGTCACCAACAACAGTTCTTTTCAGAACTACCCTCACCTGGACAATCACACTATTCGAACTACGAGGAAATAAAAATCATATCTTCCCGCCACATGGAAAATACGGCACTCGGGGCCCGGATGTAGCTTAGTATGGATTTTACGAGGGGTATATTTTCCAGTGATAACACTCGTGCCTATATAATAAAGCGCAATTGAACTTTTTTGTTGTGTCATTTTTTGTTCTTTTCTTTTTTTAACTTTATTATTTTATGGCTTATGCAGCTAAGGGAAGCAACACCAAATCAATAAATAATATAAACAAGGAGATACATATTTATTGCTTTTTATAATATACACTTAAGTTAATAAAGTATAATTTAATAATATTAGATAAAAGCCCCATTGCTACTTTTTTTAAAAAAAATATATATATATAGCCTGTATCAATGGGTCAACCAAACCTTTATTAACGTAGTGATGGAAAATACACCCCTCGTAAAATTTATACTTAACTACATATCTTCATAGCTAGTGAAGATATTGATGAGGTCATTTCCAGCTTTTTCACGGTTGTATTTGCAAACAGTCAGGTTTTCCATATAATAAAAATAAAAATACACGGTGGCTTGAAGATATGAATTTTATTTTCCTTTAAGAGCCACCAAACACAAAAAAGTAATGACCAACGAAGTACATTACATACGGCATGAAAAGATATATTAATTTAGCTCAGTCTCAGTTTTTACCCTTCTAAAATGTTTTCGCCGCAATAATTTTTCTCTGAGTGTCTAAAAAAGGTCTGGAAAATTTGGATTGAAACCCAAAAAGAGTTAAACATTGCTGTTCATGAAAGACTAGTAACCATATTTGTTTACCGCATCAGACTATTAGTGTATATGTCACACTGATCCATTTTATTCGAGTGGCAGTATCGCCTCATGACGAATAACGTCATCATTTTCAAAACTGTTAAATGATATCAATTATATCACTCGGAAACTTCCAGCCGCTGTCGGAAAGCCAGGAAACCCCACCTGATGGGAGAGAAGGAAAGGACTTCAGAGAACTTGCGGCGAGCTGAGGAAAAGGCAACCACACCGGCGCGCTTTTTATGTTCTCTCTCTCCCCCAGTTTCCACGCGTTTCTTCTCGTGTGGGAACGGGGGAGCAGAAAAGAACTTGTTATTTCAAAGTTTCCCCAAACTAAAGCAAAATAACTCACCCTTTTGTTGTATTTCCAGCCAGCTTACTTTAGTTACACTTCAATTAAGGTCTGGTTTTCGTAAAATTCCGGATTGTTATTTCATACAACTTTATAAGGGGTTTTGGTTGCGCCTATAAACGGGGGGCTAACATCTCGGGGGGGGGGGAAGGCTTATAAGTGAATAAAAACGTTGCAAAATAAGCCGGTGAAGCCAACATCTAGCAGTATAAAAGGATATTTTGCGTTCTTAGGAAAAAGAAACACAAGGAACAAGTAAGGAAACAAGTACGCGAAGCACAGATAGAGTTCTTTGTTTTTATATGAAGCTTCCTCATGGGAGAAAATATATGATTCTTTCATATATTCACTTGTATTCTTCATCATCTACGGGTATATTACGAACTAACAATGTGACCAGCTCCTAGTTGGCTTGATAGCTCAGTTGGTAGAGCACTGCACCGGTATCGCAGTGGTCCTGGATTCGAATCCCGTTCAGGCCTGAATATTTTTCAGGCTTCAATTTCACAGCTGCTTAATTAAGTTGTGTGTATAACTGCGAAGATCAATCATATGTTCATATTTTTCAAAGATATGATCTTTCATATATTCAATTGTGGTAAGGAGAATTAAGACAATCATCAACTTGAATTGGGGGTCACAATTAGTGGTGATGTATTCCTGAACGAATTCTATAAAGGAACTGCGTAAGGCCAAGAAAAACTTACACAGAGAACATAGACAAATGAAAATAATAAGTTCACAGCGAGAGATGGGCGTAAAACAGAAAGTTTAATGATCTCATAATGGAAACTACAAGCTACATTTAATCATTTCTTGTTCAAGTTAGTTAACTTTCAGCTCAGTCTGGTCTCAAAATACTCCACGGGACAATGTATGAACACACCTGTATCTGACCTTTTGGAAAATGAAATATGAAATATGATTAGTTATACTAAAAGGAAGGACTCTTGGCTAAGAACGCTGTACGGTAGGCTGAGCCCTCGAGACAATAACAAACGTCAGATTGCCTTTCATTGTGTTTACGTTTCCTCGGATTATTAAATAATTCATCAAAAAATAGGAGATATTTCACTTGTTTACAACAAAAATACTCATCAAAGTTCGTGTACAAACAGTAGACGGCAAAAGTTAGATCTTGCCTCTCGCAGGATCCGCGATGTGCAAAATTACTGTCTAAACCGGAAACGGAAACCGGAACCTGTTTTCGAGGGTGAGGGGGAGGACGAACCCTGCAGAGAAACCCTGCCAGCAGGTTGAGGATTGGGCGTGAGTCTAAACCCCAACCGGTAAATACCTGCAGATAACTGGAAACAGCAAGAAGGGAGAGACAGACAATAATAATGATGATGATGATGAGTTGGAGGAAGAGAAGAGAGGAGGGGGAGAACTGGGAAGAGGAACAGGAGCAGGAGTAGATGGATGATAATTTTAAAAATTAACTGATTCAATCTTGGGATCAAGTTAGGGGCATCATTTTACTGTTACAGTTTGCCTTTGAACAGTTTTTGGTTTCTTCATTTCTGGAAATTTCATCCCTTGGTCTGGAAATTGAATGGCCTCCATAGGTTTCGCAGGGCATGACGTTTCACAAACTACTTTTCAACCGATTTTTTAGGTATGTTCAGTTAGACTGGTTTGGAAGAAAAAAAAATCAAGACGGACGGAAAATCATCAAAGTTATAAAATACCCAAATAGACTGCGGACAAAAGCTGATGTGATGTCAATGGCGGTAGAAAAGAATTTAGAATTCCCACCACATTTGTTTTGTTTTTCATGAGTCAAATGGGACACCGAGCTTCGGAATGAATCAATTGTTTGTTTAGTGCCTTCGCAAACCCTCAACAACAAGCTTTCATCAAAAAGTGCTGTGTTATGTACGTTCTCATACTTTACCTGTAGATTGGTAATATATCTATACCCAGCTTGGATAAGAAAATTTGTTTAAGCTTTTTTTTGTTTTGCGACTGAGTGAGCTTTTGTTTGGGGCCTCTCTCACTCATAAGATAAGCCTGTTGGCAAGCAGGCAGGTCAAGAAAATGCAGTTACGATTCTGAGTTTTGACAATCAACTGCTTAGATTAACTTATACCTGCCTATTTATTAATATTCTTTAAAATTTCTTATATTTAATAACCTGTTTTGACTGGAACTCAACTGAAAGAGCTGATGCCAGGGTAAGAGAGTAAATCCCTTATAAAGGCCATATTTTCAGGTTAATATCTCTCAAGGTTTTGTTAGATAAGGTATCCAATTCTTTTCCGACTAACGTTACCACGCGCATTGTAAAGATGTTTTCGTGAAGAGCGAAAATGCGCTTGGGCTATTCACGTGATTTGTGTTACAGGATTGGCTATTTCTAGACCGTCCTGGAATTTCAGTTATCTGGGATTAGTGATCCAAAAACATCTTGAAATGGATTACCTTAGTAGGAATAAGGCCTATATGGGGGATTAACTCTGTTACCCTTTATAATCTCTTAAAAGAATATACTCGCTTTGAGCCCACCTCAAGATATTTCACGGTCCCTTCACACGGGTCTTCAAAGGCCGAGTTTCCAGCGTGCAGAGTGCAGTTGGGCTGTCCCTGGCACTCTCGCTTAGCTACCTTCATTGACTTTTTAGCATTGCCACAGTTTATGTTCCCCTTATGTCCACACACTCCTTGCTTTGTGCGTCCATGCAATGCACTCACAATTTCGATCCTCTTTGCAGCAGGGCAGGTTATTGTCATCGCTTCATCCTGACAAACCCGACGGCGTTTGTCTAAGAATGAGTAAATAATAAATAGCTTAGCTGTAACTAAACTAATAAATAGCTAAACTATAACTGCATTAAATTTTGTAGCACTATTTTTCTATTACTAGTTCCCTCGGGTAAGCAGAAACGTTGATTTTAAATCACACTAGGACAAGCCTTATAGAGATAGGGGGCGTCAATGGCTGGAGGGTCCCTTTGACGGTTGACTGTTAAAGTTTAAGTCATATGACGGTTGACGGTTAATTTTGCGGAATGACGTTTATAGCACGAAATTGAAGCGAAAATGTGACTGTGATAACTCATAAAAGGATACAATTTTGCCTATATTTGAATAATCCAATTAGTCCTATAATTTTTGTGCATTGCAAAATTAGGCTTTTGGGCTTTTGGGCATAATTACTTCCCCTTTGTTACCGCTGGACATATTAATCGCCTGCTTCCGAGACTAGAAGTTAAAGGCAGAATAAAGGACTTGTACATATACGTATTTTTGTGATATATTAAAACAATCATTTATAAACAGCATATCTTGACCCCTTTTTTTAA